ATAAGAATCCTGCCGAATACATTTGTTTAGCTCCCGGTAGCCGACGCATGGTCGTATTTATCCATCTTTCTTCTGTATCAGCATTATTGGGAACGCCCAATAGGGAGTGCTTTTTATATCACTCTTCTTTTTTCCAAATCCTTCAATATTTCTCGTAATTTTGCACGAATTCCTAATGGGTCTGGTCGTGTCTTCAACTTTATCGGTTCGTGATCGCCTGTCTCTATTTTCATTCTGGCTAGGTCGGTTTGCCTCAGTTCCTTATCGCATACTGCAAACGTATCGCTATACCTTTCCAGAATTTCTTGCAGTTTGGTGTCGACCTCGCTTCCCTTCCTATTTTGGCTATTTGTTCCCTAAAGAGGGTCATTTTTTCCTCTTGGTCTAGTTCCACCTTGCCGTGGTCTGGCATAAGGCATTCCTTCCATTTTTCCATCCAACCTTTAGTTGTAACTTCGCCAAGTTCGTCACTCTTTCGCAGCACTAACGAAGTCTCGTCATGCTTGTGGACAGGTATAGACAAGGTTTGTGTAATTCTAAATACTCCTATTGTCATTTCTTTCTTTTGAGAAAAATACACTGTCTTTGTTTTCTGATTCGGTTCGCATCTACAAACTTGACGCTATACGGTGGAATCATGGCTCGCTTTCCCACTTTCACTACGGTTCTTCGTTTTTGTGCCTGCGGTCTTTCTTCCTTCTTTTCAGGCGTGATTGCTATGTAGTCCCTACACTAGAAATGGTATCCAATAGAAATTCTAAACTATACTCTTGTGGTACATAGTACGCTGTCTTAGCCGTCTTGCCTCCGGTTAGCGTCGTGGGTATCCTTACACCCCCCAGAAAGTTCATAACGTTGTTGGACGCATCGTAAACAACGTCCAAATCCTCTTCTTTCATTCGTTCCAGGCTATCTATAGCCTTTCTACGCCGAAGCTAATACTTTTGATGGGGTGATGCTTATCATCGACCCCAAGTCTATCAAAGCTTCTACCTTGATTACAAGGTACGTTTCCCTACTAGTCCTCTTCTTCCACCTTCGCTTTGCTGCATTTTCACAACAGTGTCTTCACTTGGCGTATTAGCGAAGACAGCGAGTCTGACTTTATTTCGCCTT